AATTTACAGATTATTTACCAATTATTCACGTGACAAAGTCACAGATCTTTTACAAATTTGGATTTATTTTATATATTAGATTCTTTATAAAGCAAGATCAGCATAAAAATTTTGGTAAGTGGCGCAGCACGTGATGTCTTTAGATGATTCGCACCATACCTCATTTCAAGCTTAGGAGGTTGCAATTCAGAGTCCCCACTCTGAATTTTATGAAATTGCATTTGGGCTCTTTCTTTCCAAGGGGCCTGCCGGATATCCTCCATGTTCAAGTACTTTGCCCCAAATGGTCACCATGATCTCTGGCACTAAGAGAAAAGCCATAAATAAAATAGTTCAGATTTGTTTGGTATGTTCTATATAAATTAATTATTTCTGGTAGGGGACCTGGGCCTCTGCCAAAATAGCCATCTACCATAAGTCCAAGCTTTTGCTGGTGAGTGGGTGTGTCACCAACAAAACAAGGTTGAACCCCTTGGATTGCAGAATTTCAAATAAGTTTTAGGCACCAACTTTAGGGTAACGTGAAGCAAATACTACATGCTTGTCAATAATCAATGCCCATATGGCAATGGCCAAGCCTGGTCTGAAAAGAAGATAAGGCCTTTGCAGAAGCTCTCACTTGTCAAAAACCTTCCAACATGTAGGGGCCTTCCCCATGGAAAAAATTCACAGTTATAAGGTGTGTGTAAGCACCAGCTGCTTGTTTGTGATAAGAAAAATTATTAAATCTGATACCTATGATCAATATCAGATTTATTATTTTTTGGGAATCCCAAAGAACTGGGTAGACCCACATCATTAAAAGTTTCATTTCTGGTATTATTCATTTATTACTCAGATGACACAATTTTGTAAAAAAATCCTGATGAACAAATCTTTATCAAATAATTATCTTTTTAAACACTGCAACAATGGCAATACATTAAATTTTGTGGTGTTATTTTAATAGGCCTGAAGATAATACAAAAAAATTTTGGAATCATTGGGAAACAATGGTGGTTTTGATATTTATTGATCTATGTGAAGTTTTTGTACAGGCTACAAAATATAAAATATCCTTCCCAATCTAGCACTAGTCCACAAGCATATCATTTGTTTCAAGAAACCTTGTGGGAAGATCATTAAGAAATCTCTGGTAGATGTCTAGATAAATTTAAATAAATAAATATCAAGTTTTTATCTTAAATATTAAATTTTACTTTTATTTTTATAGACCTCATAGAACAAAATTCAGATTTATCATTAAACAATCCTAACAATATTATTACTTAATTATCATTCTTATGCAAAAGAACCAATAATTGATGCTGATATTATTCCAAATGTTTCTCATAAAGCATATATTAATTTTCAAAATAATATTTTTATTCAGCAGTTGAAGATGAACATGAATTGTTCTCACATTTATCATCATTTATTATCTTGGTGGTTAAGTTTTGATTAGTGTGAATAGTATGAATATGATTACTTTACATTAAAACTCCAACAGATGAAAAGATTTTATTATCTAATTTGCATTATTTAAATGGGGCATGCTGCAACAAAACCAGACAAAGTGAACACTAGTATTACCAAGAATTTCAGGGATCAAAATTTAGCTATTATCATCACAATTAGTTTTATAATGTCCCATTTGTTAAGTGATACACTCACTGGTCATAAATATAAGGACACTTGCAGATCATCAGAAATAATTGAACAAAGAAACATAAAAATATAATAATAATTATATAAAAAAAAACAACAATGGTTAGGTCACTTTCATTGACTTGTCCAATCCATATGTTCATTGCTTATTTCTAGTTCAGGAAACCTCACTTGTATACAACAAAAAGTATTATGATGGGTTGTAGATGAAGCATCTAGCCATTTTTCTTTATCATGTAAAGTTTTTGTTACTGATGACCTATCAATATTCAATGAAATTTTTCACTAAAATAATTTGCAATTTCTTGATGAGTTTTCTGAATGTTTTCTTGGTAATATATACAAATTTCTCTTTTCAATTGCTCACTAATAGCTGTTTTTTTTTCTTGGTTGAGACATGATAATGATAATGATAGTAATGATAATAACAACAATAATGGTAATGATAATTAATAATTTGAATAAAACGAATAAAATGAATAAAACAAATGGGGGGACATTGTGCCAGTCTAAATTTTTTTTTTTGACAAAGAAAGAACTTGCCACATGTAGGAAAATCAATAAGATAAGAAACAATATGGTCAATAAGTGATGGTATTAGCACGGTTACAAAATTTTTTCAGTGAACCTAGGAATAAAACTCATGCTTAAAGGAGGGACCTTCATGGGTGTATGAGACTCTTGTTATTGATGTACGATCAGATAGTGTCTTAGAGGAGGATGCATGTTGCTCATGAAAATGAGCAAGGCAACATCTAGCTGATTTTTTGACAATTCTATTAATAATAGCATTATGAAGGCTTGGATATTACTTTAGAAGAACAATGAAAGTCTATAATTGAATATTGAACACTTGTGCAAGAACTTCCAGAGCATCATAAAGAACACAAAAATTATTTATCCCTGGGCAAGTACTTTTGCATGATAAAATTCTACTATATTGACACACATCCAGTTTTCAACCTTGATGATGTATAAAAAACACAAAATTGTGCCATTCGATATAATGCATCATATTTTAAATCCAAAACACTTCTTTAGTTGACCAGTTTGTCTCTGAACTTTGCTGAGATTTTTTATTGGCCATTTGTACTAGACATAAACTGTTAATATTAATATTAATTGATTTAAAAGTTTAATAATTGTGGAATTTACAGATGTATGAATACCATTCCTATGACTTGATTGATGAATGGTTGAATTCTGGATTAACGTTATTCCACCCTAATTATAGCATGGTTAATTATAGACAAGGTAGAAAGTCAAAGATCTGATTTTAATATTGGGGATTATGGTTCTAAGCTAAAATTGTTCTTCATGAAGATTATGGTAAATATTCTTATACAGCCAAAGGAAAAGCAATTTCAACTAATGGGTAATTTAATAATCTTGATTTTATAGCAAGATTTATTTTCAAAAGCATTTCATTAAAGGTTCCTTGAACTTTTGTTGCAAAACTCTCTCACTTGCTGGCCATATACTATCTTGTCCTATTTGTACTGCATGTTGAGGTTTCAATTAAAGATACTGGCTGAAATTAGTGTATTACAACAATGGTTGCAACCCTTAGTCGCAGCCATCATTCAAATGTTGCGATGTCGCAAGTCGCAAACCATGTTGCAAGTCACAACCATGTCGCAAATCATTCTGCAATTATATTGGTCAATACTATAATACTATTACACAAATTTTTTTATAATAGTCATTACACAGGAGTTTTTAATGTTACAATCATGAATAATAAGTGGCATGCAATTTCTTCTTTTAAAAAATTTACACACTTTCTTTTTAAATTCCATATCATGGTAGTATATATATACCAACTTATTTAACAATCAACTTAACCAAGATGTCAGTGATTTTTTTTAAAAAAAGTTAAGAGTATTTGGGAAGTATTTTAAAATTGAGCAAGATAATGGATATAGTTTATAATGAAATTTGTAAAGCTCTATCAAATGAATTAATGAATGGATATGAAGATACAGAGTGGTTATGTTGTAGAAATAGAAAGAAGAAAATATAAATTGATTGGCTAAATTTTTGATACTCCATAATCATATAACAAGAGATGTTTTTTTTATATTTATCATCAATTAATCAATGTAACCCTTTGATAAAATAAATGGTATATTACACCTAAGTTCTTTGTAGAATAAGTAAAAATACAAATAATAAAATGTATATAGTATTGAGGTGTTAATATGAGTGATATTTTCTAAATGCCTACCAATATATTGAGGTGGTGACATAAATAATAGGATTAAAACCTTATTTATCAGAAGGTAATTACTTATTAACTCTCTTTTACAATTAACTAATTTACTGTATTTTTGTTAGCATAGTGGACATTCGTTTTATCACATGTGACAAAATCGATTGTCGATCTTTTTTATATTGTGAAACTTGCTATTTCAATTGAATTTAGAATAGAAAAAAGTCGCGTGACTGCGCACAA